AATTTAAACATGGAGCTGTAATATTAGTGAGGTTGGAATGGGGTCAGATTTTTAAAGAATTGGCCTTATTGCCAACAAGGAACTTGAAGACTAGTTTGCTGACAGGAATTGTTTATTTTTTTACTTAAAAGGTTATCATTAGAGACATTTGTGTATGATGTAATAATCAGGAGCAAATGTGCTTCTCTGTTTTTTTTTAGGTTGCATTAAATTTTCTGCAGTTTATATTTATGAAAAATATATTCATGCCTTTTCATAATGGCTGATTGTACCATTTTGTGTTAAAATACAACATGATTGTAGTATCATTGGCAGGATTCATTTTATCATACCGTACATTTAGATGTGAAGTCCACTTTATTGAAATATTCATTGCCCTAAAGGAGAGTTGTTCTTGCATGCTTTTTGTCCAGCCATTTTAATGTAAGAAAAATCTATGCTTTTGAGCACACCATCTGCAGTTGTCTTATTGATTGCCAGGTAGACCATTTTGATAAATATTCTGCATTATAAATCATTAATGTCTCCCTATTTATCAGCATCCCAATAATTTCACTCAGCATTGCTGCTTAATATTTAGTCTCAACCCTAATGGACTGGATAATGATCGATTTAATTTTGGCATCCATGTCATCATACCACACATAATGCTACGCCTCAAGTAGACATCCAGGAGCAGATGCAGCTTGCTTCACAGACTAAATGGCTCAAAGCCAAAGAGTATTTGCTCATCATGTACATTATAATAATACAGCAGAGCACTCCCGATGAGAGGTTTAGTCTCAAAATTCAAGTGAAACAGATTCTTAACTATTTTTGGAAAAAGTCCCAACAAGAGCAAATAGGCGCAGGAAAAGGTGCAGGTATCATTGTCAGCAGAGACCTTCTTTGCTTTGTTTCACATCTCATGCCACACCATATAGCGTTTTATCTGACACATTGTCTCCCTGCAAGGTTTTAAAACACCTAACCTGTTTATGCTGTGGTACTGAAAAGTTTCCATCATTTTTTTTTTCTGGAAACCTTCATTCCAAGTCTCCGCTGTGAATATATCCAGGCGTTATGTAGTTTGTTGTTTATAGTTTATAAGCTGTGCCAGCCATAGAGGATGCATCTTGATTCAGTATCCCGTTTGCTGTAAGAATCTCCCTGGCTCCTGGTATTTGGATGAGTGGAATCCATGTTGTGCTCTTCAGATATGATCCCTGTGACTGGCTGACTACCAATGTGATCTCATCTCGAGCATCTATTTCGGGCCCCTAGTTTACTCTGAATTTCTGATTTTTGCGTTTTGTAATTTCTGAGATAAAGACAAGCCCTCCTTCACTCTCTTCATGCGTTTGGAGTCCAGCTACTGTAGGCAACAATCATTGGTCACAAAGTAGGGAGTGAATGGAGAAATGTGATTCATTTTTCTCTCCTTTTTAATATGATTGGCAAAAAGTGTCATTAATAATATGTTTGGTTTTTCTTGTGAATTCTAATCTGTTACATTTACATTACACATTACATTTCTTTTTTTTAAGTGTAGTGTTCATAATTTTGCTGCTAACAATAGTAGTAAAGTACAGAAAGCAGGTTTTGATGTGTTACAAAGTTGAAAACATTGCTTTTCACTCCATTTGTTTAAAACCAAGTGGCCATGCTAGATTGCATGGAGTTAAAAGGACTTTAAAAACAGACAGACAATAAGGACTAATATCAGGTTCACTGCTGCTGTTTCCTAGGATAACCTTATTCACCTTGTTCTCAGAACTACTGACGATGATATAACAAGCAAATTAATCGGGCAAATTTGTCAGAAATAAATGCACAGTGCTGTAGGTCAAAATTGGAGATTTGTTTTGCTTAGAAATTCAATGACAATATGTGCAGCAGGTTTCCTCATAGTAAAATGACTACACAGATAACTTCCCAGCTTCTTTCCTTTGCTAACACTGCAATATTTGATTAATCGAAGTACACTGTGTATTAAAATAACAGCTAATGTAAACAGATGGGGTTTTCAGTTGTTTCTTTTATGCATGTGGCTGTCAGATGTGTTTAAAACAAGGAGGGGGGCTGAGAAAACGCACATGCTGTGTCACTCAGGGCACAGTGCTTCACCTCTTTGAGTGAGTTTGGAGTGCAGTTCCAGTGTTTGCTGAGGAACGATTCAAACTGACACACTTCAAACTCCTCAAGTCAACACAGCAGCCACCCAGCTGTTTCCAAGTTTCGCATTTAAAACCCTTTTCTCTAGTTTTCAAGGCTGAAGGTAAAATTGTATCATGCTGAAATTGTTTTGGGTCCGATATTGATGATGATGACGTACTCCCCAATATTGAGAACCACAATTTCATTCCAGTTGATCGCTTTAAATGCCTGTTTTTTTCTCCTCCTTCTGACAGCTGGTTTGTTTTAGTCCTGTAGGTGGCTATTTGTTCTTCCGTATATCTGTCAGCTTGAGTTAAGTCATTACATATTTTAAAATGCTGGATAAAGCACCATTGGGATGCAAGACAGTAGGCACAAATGGTTTAAAAAATGTTTGAAAGCTGTGTGGTGTTAAAAACAATTGCTAACCAACAGTGGAGCATTGAAATGTGTTACTATCCCAAGAGTCTTTATGATTTTGTTTGAGAACATAGGCTTTTTGATCAATCTATAACAGCTTCCAGGGATACAAGTGGTGTTTGTTTCTAATAAAGGTCAGCATCAAATAAACATCATTGTTTATTGCAAAACAAATGCATTTAACTCGGAGCGCCAGAAGGTTCTGTGACTGTTTTGTGACAGCACTGAGATTCGGAGGTGGGGGGAAACCATTCCTTTCTGGAGCTCAGAGATTCGTTTTTCATACAGTACTTTTTAAACAACTGTTATTTAAACATGCCTCTGTGTCCTTGTCTAGATATGTTGGCTACCTTCCTTTGGGGCAGATTTATAATGAATACACAAGACAAATATTTCACTTTGGTGAAACACTAACAAAAATAAATAATCTTTTAATAATCTGTTATTCTAAAAATATCCCTTCCTGTAACTTTTCCAATCTCTTAGGGGAAACAATTTCTATCTTTCTAGTGAAATCCCAACATAAGAAGTTTAGTTTATAGGAATTGTATTATTCATTTAATTGTTAATGATTGCAGTTAAGCATTTATTTTGAAATTATAATGTACCTAACAATGAATTGGTGTATATTTTTTTAGTTCTACAATTATATTATAAGCATAGGATATATTTTTTGTCTCAAAACAAACAGCCTCACAAAATTCACTAAATAAAGTTCAGTGTTAACACTGAATGCTTTTTTTAAACAAAAAGAAAGTGGATAGTTTGTCTTAGAATTTTCTTTTAATTCCATTGAAACATATCTAGCAAATTCATTTGAGGAGTGCTGAATAGTAAAATGTGCAAGGCATACTGCGGTGTTCATGACACAGCTGGGCACAGTTCAGGGGCATGAAGGCCACAGGTTGTGTTTTTCACAGTGTTTTTTTTTTCCTTCTTCCTTATCAGTATACAGTATGCGATCTGTAGCCATGAACCATACAAACAGCCAAATGACTAAATGGACTGGGATTAAGAAACTGCAGTGTGAATGAACTCAGGCTTGACAAGTGTGAACCCTAGCAAGTGCAAGCACCAGGATGAGTCTGGTCCTTTACATTTTTGACTATACTGTAGACTTTCAATGGCTCTGCATATAACAAGTCATACAAACACAGTTTGTTTTAACTGTTTACAAGAAAATCTCTCTTACACCATCAAACTAAAAGGTGACCTGTCAAGTTACAATTCATAAGATTAGCATTTCAATACGTACTGCATAGAAGTGCATTTATCTAAGATTTTAATTTCTCTGTGCAAATTGCAAAGTTAGTATTGTTTAGTTGCAGTTGTATACAAGTGATTTCCATTGTCTAGTTCCTTTGGCCTTTTTTGAATAAATGTAAGACAGAAGGTAGAAAGATAAAAACCCATCTTTGCTCCTGACAGCATTACAGGTGTTCTGTCTGCAACAGCTGTGGCCCAGAACCGCCCCCTGACACAGCATTAATTAACATTAAGTTGTGTGTCAGAGCAATCATTGTGCTAATGGACTGGGAATTTAAGTTAATCAAAAGAATGTTCCTAAAAAAAATTTTTCAACAGAAGAAATCTTTTCATACTCTTGAAGTCATGTACTAGGTTTCCATCATGTTGCAAATTAAGAAATAATGAAGAAATGCTTTATTATATCCTTTTAAGATGCTTACTGTACCTTTCAATAGTCAAAGCAGCAGTGTAGCTTCTTTCTTTGTCTCAAAATACATAAAGCATAATTAGCTGCCTCTTTAGATGGTTCTATGTTCTAATATAGTGAGATGGCCTGAGCTAATTAATGCTCACATTCTCTTAACTCATAAGCTTAGAAAATAAGGTCCATATAATAAGCGAATGTTATTTCTTCTTGCCTTTTTTCATCAAGCTAATTTATTATTTTTCTGTGCAGAATGAATCTTGTAAACTATTCAGATTAACTGGCTATTTGTATGTATGTTTATGTATATCAAAAATGAATTCAGGAGCTTTTTTTTTACACAAATATTTGTGGGAGTCTGGAACAAGCTAACCAGCTGTGCTTTTGAAACCAGTACACCCCTGGCTTCTTTAAAGAAACAAGTGGGTGAAATCCTTGGATCAGTCAGCTAGTAATGTAACAGTGCACAAGAACAGCCACATTGAATGGCCTCCTGTTGTTTATAACCCTTCGACAATCATCATTAACTGTATGTGTGGATCTAAGATTTGGAAAGCTGTATTTGGAGTTAAAGAGAGTAGTCCAGACACACAAAAGTTACTAAAATATAATGTGAAAGCCTTGCAGGGATCACTTGTTTCCTTCCTTGAGGTTTTTCCCATGTTTGAGTACCCCCTGCTTGTGGTTCACTTGAGCTTTTAGCCTCTTCAGAGTGCCTCCTCACTTTCACAGGTCCTCTAATTTGAAATGTTTTGCTCGGTTTCCCTTGCAGCTCTTTGAGTCCTGATGTTGACCCAGACAATGCCTTCCAGAGAGAGGGATTTGGACGGCAGAGCATGTCGGAGAAACGGACCAAGCAATTTGGAGATGCCAGTCAGCTGGAGTTCATTAAGACACGGAAGTCAAAAAGCATGGATTTAGGTACTGACTAAGAAGACCCTGAAATGTTCTTTAACTTGCTTTTCCTTTAAGCCTTTATTTAATAAGTGTAATTTTATCATTTTAGTTTACAGGACAAAGTATAAATCTGCATTTGGGTGGGGAAAAGTTACGTTACTTTTGTTTCCTTAGAAGGAGAGAGGTATTAAACAGATGTATTCTAGGTTAGTGCTTTGATAAACAGCAAATCTGTAAATTACTAGTACTTCAGTTCTCAGGAGAAGACCTCAGTCATGACAGACTTCCAGATAAATATAACTTATTGTAGTTAAGATCTGATCCTCTAGAGATATTTTCTTCAGGATGGAAGGACTCTGCATTAGCTCTTCTGCTTGTGCACTTGGGCTCCAGTTTGATATTCTTATCACCATGCTTTGCCCTTTTATCTGAAGAGTGACTGCATGCTGTCAATACTTCACCCAGGTGGAAAGCACTTGTCAGATTCCTGTTTTGAGAAAGGTGTGCTTAAGTTTATACACTGTACTGAATTTTATTGAGCAGACCTTGAGAATGCAAGGCTGCGAAACATCCTTTTAGTTTATCGATTCAGTGTCTGATATTCCGTGAGACTTTGAACAGTACTCAAAATAGAATTTTCCCATTTTGTGTATGACCATTTTCTAAAATGTTAAAATTTCTTTTATTGGGCTCTCTTCCTAGTTTTACTTGAAATTATGATCCTTATGTCAAGATCAAAGCTCTCAGAGTAGAACTCCAACTCAAGTAGTACTTCTGAATTAAAATGAAGCAACATGCTCATAAAGCTGTAAAAGGGTATGGGATCTGAATTAACTTCAAATCCAAAATAGGCAAAATCATTGCCAGATGCTGTTTTACCCAATACCGAACACGATTTTCCTTCAGGTCCTTAACATGCACTGGAAAGAATCTTGGTTTCAAATCTCATCCACAGTGTGGCACTTCCCTTGGCACATTCCCCAGTGTTTTTATATACCAGGACACTGGCATGGGACTTGTTTAAAGACAAACACGCCACAGCAATACCTCCATCTGCATCCCGTCAAAGTGCAACCAAGGCTAACCAGGCTTACCTTTTCAGAATGAAGAAATGGCAGCACGACCTCTGGAAGCAATGCAGATGTTTTGTTTTCCCTCCCATACAGTATATTTACCCACTGTATTCATTTACACTGATGATTAACTCGAATTTCAGTATGTGTAGTGCCCCCAGACACTCTGTTCATATAAAGCATAAAGCATATATTGTGGAATGCTGCTTTTATTTATTGGAACAGAACAGATTCTTGATGTGTTAATCATCTTCATCTTTGAATAGGTTTTTTATGGAAAAAATAATTTAACGCAACGTTTACTTTTAAGGCAGTGATACAAATAGAAATGAAGTATTAAATTCACCGTGGGATTTTATTTTTTGGCGGTGTACCAGAAGAGCAGGACATAAATTAAACATACTGTTAACTACAATTTGTATACAGTGTGTGTGGGTTGCTCCAAATAGACATATGGATAACTTTTCAGATTCTTGAAGATCCTAAGGGACAAAAGGTACTTTGAGAGGAGGTGTAGGGCAAGTAGAGAGAGATGAAAGGCAGAGAGAGGAGGAAAGAAAGGTGAGGGCTCAGGTGGAGAACAGAATGAAGTGCAGACTGAAAACAACTGACAAGAGCAGAGGTTATGAGGGTCTTTATACTTAAAACTATAATCTTAAAACCTTAGGCATTCTCTGATTAATTAAAAAGCTGAGTCTTTCAGGTTTTATACTTCATATTTCATTGTACATAATGGTGTACATAATGGTGATATTCTGTAAAATATACTGTTTGAACTTTTCCAGTTTGCAATGTGTGGTAATTAATGAAAAAAGAAAATGTGTTAAGTTATATTTCCTAACCATGGAAAATTTTGTATAGTTTAATTTTGAATAAGTTTTAAAAGTAAAAGAAGGCATTACAATATGTATGCTCTGGCCAGGTTATATGACTTGGATATGAGACAACCATTCCAGACTATTCTGTTATGAGGCTCAATTAAAATGTTGTCCTTACCATAAAATGTAGCATAACATCTTGTCAGTCTTGAGGGTAAAATTTTAAGTTTATTTCTTACAAATTCAAGCTCAATACAGCTGTTTACATTCAGTTTGAGAATTCAGAAGTAATCGGTGAAATGGGATTTTTCTTTTTTTGTGATGTTTTCTCCTTCTGGTTTTGTGCTCTGTCTGGAATGAGCTGTGTGAATTTTAAGACAGTATTAATTGGATCAGCACAATATTGCACTGAGTGGTCCAGCTGTTTAAAATGCTTTTTTCTGGAGGGGGTCGTTCCATTCAGGCACAAAAGCAAGATGAAAAAAATTCACAATGCTTTGGCTGAAAGTAATATTCTAACATATAATAATATACCTTTGAATGATTGACAGTTCTGCATGATGTTTAATATCTCTTCACCTCTATTTTTTTCTCCATGTGATTTGACTGCCTTCCATTTTAAAACTGATTTGCATGAAGTCCGATTACTGTGAAGTGACTTGTAATACTAAAAGAATCAATAATGTTGAAAGAAAGCATGTGGAATGTTGGTACTAACCAAGGTAATTGTTTATGCCTTTTAACAGTAGCTGATGAGATTAACCTCAGTCCTCGGTCAGAGAACAACACAGGTAAGGTTTACAATAACAGCTGCACACATACTGAGAACCCTGAATTAAGAAAGGGAAATGTGGAGTTCTGATTGCGGAACTGCATGTGAAATTATTTGTTATGGACTTTCAGATGTGTTTCCTAATCACGCTAATGTAATTACTCATTCTGGTTCACAAGTACTGACCTTCACCCTTCCCAAACCAACCTTCACTTGTATGCAGGTTACAGCTCTTTCTGCTTTATCATCTCAGTGAAAAACATGTTTTACAGTTGCGTAGCTAGAGATATTTCTGGTGTGCAGTCTGAGGTTAGTAGTATAGTACAAAAGGAACATGGAGAGATTTATTTGGGAAAACCGGTTTGGTTAGACATTGAATTTATTAGACAGAGGCACTGCATCTTATCAACTAGTATGCAAAAAAGGCATTCTGAATATTGGACATGTAAACCTGAGAAAGATGGCTCAGTTGAAAGCACACAAACCAAACAATTGCACAAACCTTTTCTATTTCCAAAAGATAACACTTGCATTATGCTTACAACGGAACAAATAATAGGTTTATTCCATGCTGAAAAAAGAAGAAAGAGAACACAACGTTTCGGCCGTGGAGCCTTCTTCACACCTGAAGAAGGCTCCACGGCCGAAACGTTGTGTTTTCTTTCTTCTTTTTTTCAGCATGGAATAAACCTATTACTTGTTCCTTTGCAGCCTATGCATGCTGACGCAGCTACCCACCTGAACTACTTATGCTTACAACACTGTTTATATGATTACCTCCTAATAAACTGTTTGCTTAGTATACTATGTGGTGAATTGTTCAATAATTGCTATGTAATATATACATATACTGTATAGAGAAAGTCCTTATAAAAATTGAGTTTTCTTAAGAGAGTTCATATAAATAGTATTATATTCAGGCGTTCTGCCTGAAATGTTGTTAACAAAGGGCCATGTTTATGAAAACCGCATGTACAATGACACTTGTTTTATGTCCACCTGTCTATAAGCCATAATAACAGAAATAAGTATTTTCACAATAAAAAAGATGGTAAACTAAATGAAAGGAATTTTAATCTCCTGTAGTGATCTAAAATCAGGGTGTTAACTGCACTCTGCGCACATCTCCACCCTTGGCAATATTTCTGGTGGTTAAGCCCATGTTACTGTAAAATGGAGAAATGTCAAAATGGTTGATCCAAAATTTCACTTTCTAGAAGAGTAAAAGTGTCATTAAGAAATTTCTTACCAAATAATAATTATAAACATTGAATGAGCCTTGGAGAGCCTGGACATTATGAACATAGGGCCTTACGTGTAATTCAGCAATGCAGAGTTGAAAAAGTAAAAACTGTATTGTGGGAATAACAGTACATACGTCTGTATAAAAAGATTAAAGAGGTGGAGTGGAAAGCAGTCTGTTTCAAGATTTGAAGAATGAGATCAATTGCCAGACTAGAAACTTTTTTTTAAATCTTGGTCTCTTCCAAAATTTAGAGTAGGATTAGATTAAGAGAAGTAAGATTTGTACTTCGAAAGCCAGCAGCATTGTTTAGTATTGAAGGAAATGGACTGAATCCACCTCCAATTAGTTCTGTAAAGTAATAATAATAATTATAATTGCTTACACTTATATAGTGCTTTTCTGGACACTCCACTCAAAGTGCTTTACAGGTAATGGGGACTCCCCTCCACCACCACCAGTGTGCAGCCCCACCTGGAAGATGCGACAGCAGCCATAGTGCACCAGAATGCTCACCACACACCAGCTATTAGTGGGAAGGAGAACAGAGTGATGAAGCCAATTCATTTTTTTCAAAAACCTTTTCCATAATTTGCAACCTTACAGTGAAAAATCGGCCTTCAGTATATCAAATAGGACTTTCAAAGTCAATTTAAATATAGATATAGTATATGTATATAGTGTGTATGCTTACCTAATGAAATGGAACCAAAAACATTAATGGTCACTGCTGGGCAATTAGATGATTCGGACAAATGTATATCAGTATGCATTACAAGTTAATCCTCACAACTTGGACGGTAGGCCATCAAAGCTGTACATATCTTCTTGATTGTTAGTGAAACAGGGATAATGTTATGGAAGTGCAAAGATTCAGTGTCCCTGCTGACTGCAGGCCAGGTTAGCTCAAAATGGCTATTGTAACACAGCTCAAGAGACTACCAAAGGCAGCTTTGTAGCCTAATTCCCCATTTAGCAGTTTGTTTAAACTGCTAGCATGCTGAATAAATTACATGTAATAAAGCCACCTTCATACACGAGCCTTTACATGCATGGCTTCATTATGAAAAATGGTCTCAGAAGCACAATTTTTGCAGGACTGATTATAATATTGCTGCTGTTTTAATAATAAGGTGTTTTGATTTATTAAAGCAGTTTAGCATTTCACCTTACAAATTTAATTGTAATCGGTGTTTTCCAATTTTGCTTACTCGTTGCCTTTGGTTAATCTAAATTAAGAAAATAGCTGTATCCTTAAAGAAGTGTGAAGTCATATGTTTGCAGAAGAAAGAGATTCTTTATTAAAAATGAGAAGAGCATTGTACTATGCGTATGTGTATGGTAGACATGATATACAGCAATCGAACTCCTGGTGTAGCAAAGCACAACTGAATCTCCCCAGTCACTCCAGTGAATTGAAGGTGAAGAAGATTAAGTCCAGGCTGCAGCTTCACAGTGATTCACCAACTAATCACAGTCACCAAATTTGATGTTATCATTTCCAAAGCAATTACAGAAAATAAGAATATTTGGATGTTGTATAGAAGATGGAATTTCTATTCGTAGAACTCCAGCTTCTTCACAGACTAAATCTGAATGACTGGCAAGAAGCAATACCAGAACTGTCAAAGAAAGTCTTTCTTATCATCTTGATTTTTGTGTCAAGTAATATGCAATTTAAGGTTGTATTATGCTTTATATTTGTGATATTTCCTTGCAGTTTTGTTTGAAATCAAGAATACTTTTAGTTAGTTGTGTGAGCATCTCTGGAATTCATCAGTTTTGTATTATCTTAATGAGATCCCTGGCATCTGTCTTTCCTTGTCTCTGAAATTCCATGCTTTTAGTTTTTTTGTTTAAATTTTATCAGTTTTGTATGATAACACTCATCTGTAATCAAAACACTTTGAGCTTCCTGAGCAATTTCCAGTAAATCGCAAGTAAATTTTAAGGCTGGCTAGGCTGCTAAGCTTCAGTAACACTTAGGCACTGTCAAAAGTTCATTCTCTTTCTTTTCCAGATGAAATCTGTAAGAGGTTTTGGCTATATTTATGTGACAAGATTATCAGCCAGAAAATAGTTGTAATATGATTTTTCCACAGTACACAGTGGGAGAAATGTTGCATACACCCCCTTTCAAGTGTATAAGTACTGAAAGCCTGTGTATTACTGTGACAGTGGCTGAAAAACCTTATAGAGACCTGTTTCCCACCAAGTAAATTCAATTGCAAAACACAAAAGGCAGTAAATAGTTTGGCTCACCTCCTCTATTTGGACTAACAGGAAAGCTGTGAACCATCACAGACACAGCCCTTGCAGTAACTCCCATGGGAAATGAAACTTGGATCCTCTGAGGTTAAAGTTGAAGACATTAACCACTAAACCACCTGTGTTGGAAAAGACAAATATTTAATTTAGCTAATTCAGCTGTTTCTAAATTTGCTTGTTTGTATCCTTCCCTTCAGCTTTCCAGAGGAGCTAGTGTTCTTTTGATTGTAAGCTAATACACAAAGTGCCAGAGTTTGGTGGATCCACACTAATCAGAAAGGTATACGCACTGGCTTCCTGCAATATAGGATGGAGAAGAAATTGATCACCTGATCACCAGGGCAAAAACAATTTCTAATATAGAACTGCCTACAATTGTAAAATTCTTCATCTGAATTGAAATCCTTTGAGTTATCATATCTAATGTCCCCTGCAGAGAGGTCATAAATAAACTTCGCTTTAAGAGAAAACAAGGTAATAGATTTTTAGCTGTTTTCTTTGCTTTGGGGGGTTTATTTTTACTGCCCAGACTCTGTTTTACTTTAGTTTTAACCTACAAATCATCAGTGTGCCTGGAAGCACTGAGGCACGGTTCATTTAGTCTACTGAAAACAAGCCGTTAAGTTATTGATAACCAGGATAACTATAGGGGCAGGACAGGACCACATGGCCTGCTCCTTTTCAAATGCAACAGAAAGGAAAAACTACAGGCCCTGTTTACATAGAGGTCAGCCATATGTAAAATGGCATCTGGTTTTATTTGTTAAGAAAGGAGATTCCTCTATAGACAGTACAGCTCTTTCTGCCTAATGGTCTGCCATGGCTCATAATGAAAAAACTAGTGTACATGTACTGTATAACACAAGAGGAGACCTTTTTATAAGATAGAAGGAAATCTAAGGATTACATTGAAGGAGAAAGAACAATATTGTTCTTTCCTAGTCTCTTTGTACATGTGCTGTATATAGTTTTTCCAAACCTTTGAACAGTACTGTGTATATATGTATTACATATAGAACATAAGTACAGTTAAATAACCAACATGGAAAGCTTTAAAGTAATAGCTAGATATCGCTAAATCCCGACAAGGCTAATGGACTAAGCCTTTATATCTTTTCCAATTTCCCAATGATGATATCTTATTTGAATTTGTCATACAAGCTTAACAGTAGCTCATAAAACAAGGGTCTTACAAAAGAGGCTTTCCTCTTTTGGATTGCCTATTTACCTTTTTTTATTCCAAATTGATGATTTGGAGTACCAATTCCAGCTCAGTGAATTATTTGCTTTACAGTTATGTCAATGACACTGATTATTTCTGGGCTTTTATTGCGACTGTTACTCAGTGTTACAAGTAATGATTCCCAAAGAACAAAAAAATGGTTTCAGTTGAAGTGCTTAAACCAATATAAAAGAGATGAATTATGTAAAGGTAGCTTCCATTGACCCTGCTGAAAGCATAAAGTACTCAATATATTATTAGTTATCCACTGAGAGTTGCATGAATACGGAACTAATTCAAGTACATGTATGGTAGCTTTGACATAGTAGATGATATTTGAGGCAAAGATCACTAGATAGCAGCTATTACTCCAACTAAGAGTGGTCCACAGAAAAGTAGAAGTACAATAAAATTTCTAGGGTAAATATAGAATATATTAATCAGTGTAAATTTTAATTGAGGACCAGTACTTTGTTGTAATTAGAAAGAAAATATGTCCTAACCTTTGAGAACTGAGTGGAAAAGAAACACTCCCACATTACGCTGAGTGTGTAATGAGGGCGAATGCTGCAGAAGAGCTAGAGAGGAAACAAAAGTTAATGACAAGAATAGTCCATTCAGCCCATAAGAGCTCTTCATTTTCCTACACATTGTGATTCCGTCTCACTGTCAGGCTTAGTTTTGAAAGATGCCAGTGTCTCTGCCTCAACGGCACGTCAATTTATTCCACGCACTGATAATTCTGTATGTAAAAACACATTTTCTACTATCGGTGCGAAATTGGTTTTAACAGGTTCCCAGCTATGTCCTCATGTTCTGTTCACTGAACTTAATTTGAAAGGTCAACTTTGTTCTCTTTGAAATTTTGAAAACTTCAATCAAATCTCCCCTTTGCCCTCATCTTGCTGGAAATGAATAATAAATGCCTGAGTTTGCAGACGAAAAGCAAAGGGCTGTTAAGACTGTAAAAACAGTTTTACACTGGAGTACAATACAGCAGTACTTTAAAGCAGTATTTCTCGCATGTACATAACTAGTATATTTAATCTGAATAGAAAAGTATATTCAGCTTTTTAATTAGTGGTTTCTCCAGCTGTGGAAGAAATTTGACATTGATTAGCTTAATGTCACTGAAGTTTCTTATGAGAAATCCTCAGCCTGTGTCTTTCTTAATGATCTCTTTTGAATTTATTACAAAATATATATTTTTTTTCCATTTGCTGGCTTTGCAGTTTCATCTTGTATAGTTAAAATACATTAGCTTTTGTGTCCAAACTTTATCAGGTAAAAAATGAAAATCAAATGAGCTGTTGTTTCTTAATCAGTCACAGACCAGCAGCCCCGGAAAACAGCTGCATTTAGTTTTCATTGCACACTGTCTTGTAACATTTTGTAATTTATTAAATAGGGTGTAAGATTTTTCTATTTTTTCTGCATATTCTGTTTCAAGCACACTATTAATATAGTGCTTTTTTAACCCAGTATATTTTTTAAACAGAAATCATTCATAAATGACCATTCTTCTAATAAAAAAATGTAAATATTATTAAATGTATGTCTTTATAAATATATATTTTTATATTGCATTTATTTCCATTTTTGCTTCTCATCAATGACTCCATTGCCAGCATTCAGACTGGTATTTTTATGCCTAATTATTTCTTTCCTGTAGTACATTTCTTATTTTGGCTCAGCTGGTTAGCCAGCAATTTCTGTGAGAAAATTCAAATAGATCAGGATGCATAGCAACTGAGTTCCTATTTTTTGTAAGTCCTCATTCTTGCCATAGTTTATAAGAAAGGTCTATAAAAGCTGTATTTTTGTGCTGTCATTTTGCAAAGTTATATCTTTTAAGAGCACTTGCCCAGTTTATCCCAAAGTATTTTCACAAAGATTACAGTGTTATAAATTCATGAAAGACTATTACCGACTCTAGAGAACATTAGAGTTTCAGTCTTAAGGACAGAGATGAAAATCAATTTTTTTTTGTAGTCTGTTTCTCTTCACTTGTACTCTGCAATCCATCTTCATTTCTACCCACAGCCACCCAAATAAAATACCAAATGTTTCTGTAATCCATCATTAATTCTTCAGTATCTTAGGAACATAAAGAACAGAACCCAGCAAGGTTTTCATCTTGCATTAGTGGAGCACATGCTGCAGAAACACATTTTAAGATGCTTTTAGTCTGGAAGAAACTAGAAAGGCTGGCTCCCTGAAGTTTTTTTTTCCCATAGGCTTGGACTATTATTATGGTTTCGCAAGGTTATGTGCCCTACTAGCAAACAAAACCAGAAAAGATGGAGTAATAGGCCTTTCACTGCCTGAAAGTATTACTTAGAAAGGTGAGGTAATTAAAGGAAAAGTAAAAGAACATACAACAACAAAATGCTATTTCCTCCTCAGTGTTAATACCAAAGAAACCATTAAGGCCACTGCTTCACGTGATACTCATGAAAAGTATTCTTTTAACTAGTTTCAGATATTGATACATCAGTATGTGAGAATATTTAAAAGATGTTTTATTTCTACAGAACTACTAATAACAAAACAGGGAGTTGTTGCTTCATAAGATTATATAAATGTTAGAAATGAAATGACAGTATACTGCTATAGCTGTGCGCGGTGTTGTGCACTTTTCCTTTATAGAAGGTCAAATTGTTTCAGATGCATTTTTGATTGTTTTGTAATAGAATTTTTAGGTCTCATATTTACCAAGATGTAGCTGCAAAACATTTGTTTTAAAAGTTCAAGGGTGGCAGTTTAGTAGGGAATGTTCAAAGTGATAAATGAAATTGCTTGTCTGCACTTCTTTCAAATTATCAGCGTTGCCCTTGATTAAGAGAAAGAATTAACACCTTGGATATCTTTCTCAGTTCCTAAAATTCAATATTTACATATTACTGAGCCTAGGTAAAAGTTGGTTCTTATTGTTTCCAAGAATCCTCAGCAGAACCTTCAAATGTCAAGTAAAACATACCATGAAAAGGTTTTAAATTAATTCAGAAATACTAGAGATTGTGTATTGTGTTATACAATTATTGGTTAGATTGTGTCAGAAGATTAAGATGATCTGGAACAATCAACATGACTACTGAATACTGAATCAGTGCCTACACTCATATGTGGATAAAGGCCTAAGAATCTTATTGAATTTAAGATTTTTGCCAAACATTCCGAGTGGAACAATGAACAGTAAAACCTATAGAACCTTAGTGGCTCATCTTGTGTGACCTTCTCTTAAACTAAATGAAAACAAAAGGGGCACAAATACCCATACAGTACACTACAAAGTTAGACATTTGGTCAAGGACTCTTACTATGAAGGTTCTTTATACATATTATTTACCAGATATACTGTATCCCTGACTTCCTGATATGAAGTGTTTTAAAAAAGACTTTTTATACCTATAAGCTGTTGAGGGGTACTGCAGCTACGTAGCTCAACCCAGGATGTAAAACATGGGCAGACTACTTGAAAAATAGAAGTAAAAATTGTATTTAGGGATGTTTTTGTCTTTAAAGAGGTTATATTTCTTGTAAAGGCCAGTTGAGGCATGTCATTGAGTCTTGCATTTCTATCCCTTACAGTCTTTATAGGTGCTTAGTTAGAACATGGCATGCCTTCAAGCTCTGCTGGGCCAGAGGGCTTGTTTTTTTTTTCCTAGAGGTTTCAAATGTTTTAACATGATCATTATAGGACTTCTTTTTCTTATAATAGCGGAAACCTTAAGATGTGGTTACTCATTAATCATTACTAATTTACGCCTATAAAGTCAATTCTCAACGTTCACATTGTGCATTTTTGGTTCAACACACCTCGAGAATTTAATACTACTGATTGTGAAAGGACTGAAGACAGTTTTACAGTCTTGATGTGCCTGTGAACGTATTACACTTTAGTAAAAGCCTCCAAAACACAGTGTGGATTTTTCTTGCCACTTCGGTCACACGCCTGTACAGTCCGTGCATTGCTAGGGTGGAAGACATGTCCAGTACTCTTTCAGGTTCTGTAATCGTGCAGCAAACCTGATTTTAATGCAATGGAGGTAGGAAGAAAAGGCTTCAGATGAGATCCTTTTCTTGACCGTCTTCTTTGTCTCATCTCCCTGAGAAGGTTCCCCAACCAGAGACGTGGGCCCTTCCTTAGGCCTGAAGAAGTCAAGCTCCCTGGAAAGTCTGCAGACCGCTGTCGCTGAGGTCACGCTGAACGGAGACATCCCCTTCCACCGACCACGGCCACGAATCATCCGAGGCAGGGGCTGCAATGAGAGCTTCCGGGCAGCAATCGACAAATCGTATGACAAACCTGCTGCAGAGGAAGAAGATGAGGGCATGGAAACTTGTGAGTGTTGCCTTAGATAGGAAAAACAACCGACTGGTTTTGTCAAGACTATGTAAACAGTAGATGGTAGTATTTCTTGTACAGTAAAAGCTAATTGTGGATCACTAAAATTTAAGTAAACTGATTCTTTGCTATTTTTCTTCAATAAATCCTTAATTGAAATTGTTAGTTGTTTTTTAATGCTTATATTGTCCATTTGGAAACCATAAGGTGAATGCGGTTTTACTATTTTTTACTTTTTATGTGGAACATAAAGCACTTTTTTGTCTTCATCAGTTGTTTTACATTGGAAATGACACGGCTTATAGGTACCATTAGCTATCCACCACTGCATCCAGAGTCCAATACTGTCTGAAGTGGTTCAAGGTTCTGTACCCTTACCTCTCTTGTTATTAGGGTTAGAGAGGAGGCTCTCAAACCCATTTCACACACTGAAAACCAGGCTCAAAACAAGACCTCTGAAGGATAGAATGTTAGATATCCCATTTTCTTTTGTTTTTGTCCATAAAGCTGCATGTCATTGGGTTTGTTTCAATACAGTCTTCGTAGTCCTCTCCAGATAAAAATGGGTCAAGGTATACCTAAATAAAGGAAGGAGATGGCGAAAAAATAAATGTCATATTGGCTTATGCTAAAACTTTACACTAATCCACACTGGAAGGTAGGTTTAAATTAAGGCCTTGCTAAAAATAAGTTGTTCAAAATATACAAGCGTCTTTCCTTGTATTTGAAAAACTCTCCTTGTTCTCCTTAGAATCCTAATACTTGATTTATAATTTTATTATGCAGTGCAAGTATTGTAAGTTTTTTAACTTCGGATGTTTCTCACCTTGCTGTCATTAACTTAATAAGTTACATTATTTGTGGTATTTGTTTTGTATTGCATGAGTTAGGCATGGAGGTCCTAGAGTAAAATCCTGACAGTCGAAACAGTGTGGCAGCGTCTCAGTAGAGACTCCCCCGAGAACAGCTTCAAACTCTTCAGGATGATGGTAGTGTGGAACTGCGCAAGTTTTCAGTCTTGTAGTTTGAAAAGCTGCGTCAGAATGGATACAAATAAAAATGTATTTTAAAGGCTAATGACCAAGTATTACTTGCTTACTCAGTTCAGTTGAACTGAGGATTCAAGCAAGATTTTTATTTTGTTTCCATTTGAAACATCCTATACCGTGAGGAATTTCTGCAAACTGATTTGTAAAGAATTGTTCTGTTCCCTAAGCATTCATTGCAGTTAGCTTATTGTACTTTTTAACTACTTAATAGTCTCTTATCTTGTGGGAAAATTTTGGAAAAGGAGATGGCTATTTAAAATGAGGGGTGTGTATATCGCAGTACACCCTGTGATATTCAAATAACTTTCTATTTCAATTTAGATAAAAAAGACCCTACTGCTTTAGTCACTGAAGTTAATAACTTGAGTTGACTGATAAGCAGCAGTTCTCACAGAAACAGATTATTATATATATATACATTAATGGATTTTGCATTAATATGAAAAATGCATTTTCACAGTGTGCTTTTCAGTAGGTCAGATCATTTGTACTGTAATCATAAAAAGCTAAAGGTTATGGAAAGTGTGCTGTTCATTCAGCCAGTAAGAAGACTTTGATTTTTCAAACATTGACTATCAATTAGCAAACCTTATATATACATGATATTACATCACTTAGTTGTACAAATAGAGAAATTTACTCTGTTCTTAAAAAAACTTTATTTACAGTACCAAAGCATATACTGTATAATCCTTTGGAATTCTATGACCCTCTCAATTGCCATATTTTTTTCTGTCAGTAACTGCAAGCTGAAGTTAGCTCATTTCTGCTTTGCATTTTTATGTGTACGTCGCACAGCATCATTTAGTTTCTTTTGTATTTTTCTTTGTGTTTTTCCTTGTGTGTGGGTTTTTTTTTTAAACCACAGTACACTGAATGAGAACCACACTTCTTATTTAGAGCCTTGAGCTCCATCTTCTATAGAGCCGGTAGTAACAGATTGAGTTTTGGAGGGTGCCTGATCATAACAAGCAGAGTGCTTGCTTTCACACACTCAGAACACCCCAGGAGAGGCAAGATTACCATCTCCAGTGTGTTATCTGAGACAAAATCATTAAGACCAAGAGAAATTAGCACTGTTGTCTAATCTCCGCTGAGTTTTAATTGCCAGATGTAGTTCAACACAGAAGCTGCTGTTGCACTTAGTGTCATGATAAGCTTTCTGGAAAATGAGTGATAATACTGATATCTGGTCAGCCTGTTACTCTTATCTGTTCTGTAGTGAAACCTTGCATAATTGAATAGGATTAAGCTGCAGATTTGCCTGGCATTCTTGTCATACACAGTCGTACAGTGAGGTTTCATTTCAGTAATTTCCTTTGAGATGACCATATAAAGGAATTGCTGATAACTCATGAAAAACAAATCCTATATATTCACCCTTGAAATACAAACCCATCTTTTTTTGCAGCTTCGTCTGGTATGCTAAAATTCAACATGGGATTTTTGATAAGAGCTTTTCTTCTACCCATCAAAGCCCCAGCACAAGCCATTAGAGTATTAATAAACCATCTTCACAGAATATTTACTTTGCACAGGGCAGTGAAATGATGTATGGAAATATGGCTGCTTTAAGGATGATAGCTAGTTTTCAATTAAGGTCTCCAATTTCAAATGTATTGCTTATTTAAACAGGTAATCAGTGAAGGATTAATTAGATTTAGTGCCTTGACATCCATGTGGATTTTTTTTACAGTGGACACACTTAATTTCACAGTGATACTTAGATGTGAGCTTAAATGTTGGCAGTAAGGGTGATTGCGCCATGCTGCAATGAATATTTTATATACATGAGATGTAGTCCAATTTGACACAAGCTCCTATGACTATACAGTAGTCTCAGAGCAAATGCAAAAGAACTTGATGCAGAAGTCCTCACTTGACCTGCTAGATGAATATATGAAAAATTAAGAAACAAACATTATTTGTACGCATTCTTGTGGTAAAATGGGAATTTGGAGTTCCTTGCAGCAGATCATCTAGAGACCACATCACGTTTATCAAAGCAAATGTCCTAGCAGTGTAATGCATAAATAAAATGAGCCTATTAGTATGAAAATACGATTTCATGCTGTTTGGCTAGGGGAAAAAAAGGTTGTCCTAATGCATGAGCATTACATATTAATTACATTTGCCCTAATTTGGAATTCAGAATATTTTTGATTGATTCTGGCTGCATAATAAGCTTGACTTTATACTGTACCTTTCTGATGCCAATTTTGCTTCCACCTTTTTCCTTGAGGCATTTCTACTGCTGCATTTGCCAGTTACGTGAGGATGTTTTCTGCAAGGAAACACACAATTACCTGTTGACAAAAGGATTCAGAAATGCCAGCTGGGTTTTTTTTCTTGACAAGTGGCAGGCTACCAGCTGAGAGAGGTGATGGACTCAGTGTTGTCCTCTGAGTGGCACCACTTCTGGTGGAGGAGGAGACACGCTGTTGAAAATTCTTTATGATTATGATAGATTGTAATAGATTATGAAAAGGCCTGTGTGCCATCACTGCAGAGGTGATGCTCTACATATTGCACTGCAGCTCTGCCATTGTGTAGCCCAGTGTCTTCAGTGAAAAATGGTCCCGATTTGAAAAGGTGTCTAACCGGTGCGTGCTGCAGTCTTTTGAAATGAGCAGGGCTTAACTATATGATTGCTCTTGTGTTCAAGGGGATGAAAGGGGCTTAAGAAACAAAGTAAGGTTTTTAAAGTCTTACTTTGTCAAAATGTATGAACTCTTTGTGCCCCCTTTATAATCTAATTTCTCTCAGTAGAAATTAATTTGAACTGTGCTATCATGACCGCTGTCAATGAGCAAAAGTGCTCTGGAAAGGAAGGAAAGAATTTGCTACTGAAAACCCTGGCCATGGATTTTGAAAAACATTACTAATTCATTATTAGATTTTACTAATTCATTTATTTTGAAAGCATATCCAGTTTGGTTTGTTATTGTTCTTCAGGATTTTACTATGGAACAAGTAACAGGTTTACTCATGCTGAAAAAAAGAATGAAACAACGTTTCGGTTGTGGAACCTTCTTCAGGTGTGAGCTCACACCATACCAGCTTCGTTCACAGCTGAAGTGAACCTCACACCTCACACCTGAAGAAGGCTCCAGGGCCGAAATGTTGTGTTTTCTTTCTTCTTTTTTTCAGCTTGGAATAAATCATTACTTGTTCCTTTGCAGCCTACGCATGCTGACGCAGCTACCCACCTGAACTACTACAGGATTTTGCTATGACAGCATTCAGTAAATGTGTAATATTCAGCTCTGTTCTGTCTGCCTTAGTCTTTATTCACAGTGGTAAAGCAGCTTTTCCAACAAAAGTTTTTTTAGAGCTGGTTACTTGTATATGCCATGAGGAAGCACATTACCATCAGACAATGCCTATTGGTCAAGTGTGTGCTTCTCACTTTTCCCTCGTTGTTACATTTAGCATGAGATAATAAGAACGAGGGTCTTTCAAAAGGGCATGTTTGACTGTAGCTGTTGTTTTGGCAAACATTCAGTAACAAAGGAAAATAGAATATGCACATAGGCATGACATAACAGGAATAAACAGATTATCCTATCTGTTCCTGTAATGTGGACAACTCTAACACATTTTCCCACAGTGTTGTCAGAGTGAACACCATGCATTTCAAGAAACAGCTGGATGAGATCAATTACAGTAGCTGCTAGAAACCGAACGAGATAGATGAATGGCCTACCATCATTTGTTACCTTTCTCATGTACAGTGATTTGAAAAGGAAAGTATTTTATAATTTTTATAATATTTAATATATAATATAATATTTTTTACATATTAAGACATATCTGACCTTCATCTACTCATAACAGTAGTTTAATCTAACCTCATGTGACAAATAACACACTTACATATTAAAAGATAATAACATAACACAATTTACTTTCTCATTATATTAAACAAAAAATCCAACATTTAGAAGCCTTGTGTGGAAAACGTAGGTGCACCCTTACTGCTTCCATAAGAAGGTAATTAGAATCAGGTGCTGCTAATTAAGTGCACAGACTAGTTGATCATCAGGAAGTCCTTCCACCTGTATAGAAAATCAGAAACTTTTTTTGATTTGGTCTGGAGCATGCAGGTTTGTGATAACACATCATGCCTAGCTCAAAAGATATCTGTGACAGTCTTAGAGAAAGAGTTGTTGCTGCTCATCAGTCTCAGAAGGGTTATAAAGCCCTTTCCAAACAATATGAAGTCCATCATTCCACGATGAGAAAGATAATTTACAAATGGAGAAAGTTCAAGACGGTTGTCAATCTACCCAGGAGTCGGCATCCCAGCAAATTCACCTCAAGATCAGACTGTATGATGTTCCTAGAGTTTGAAAAGAAACTTAAAGCTAAGGTTAGGGATCTGCAGGCCTCCGCCTTAGAGTTTCGTGATTCTACTATTAGGAAAAAAACGAACAAGAATGATCTGTCCAAAAAGAACATTGCTGCACGGCTTAGGTTTTCAGAACAGCACCTGAATGAAGCATCAATACTTCTGGAACAGTTCTTTGGACAGATGAGAACAAAGTCGAGTTGTTTGGCTGTAATGCAAACTGACACTGCGTATCGCCCACAAAAACCTCATACCAACCGTCAAGCATGGTGGTGGATGGATGACAATTTGCTTTGCAGGTGCAGGACTTGGACCCCTCACAATTATTGAGCCTGCTATGAAGTCCTCTCTATACCAGCACATTCTAGAGGAAAATGTGCGACCCTCCGTTCAACAGCTAAAGTGTAGCCAAAAATGGGTCATGCAACAAGACGATCCAAAACACACCAGAAAATCTGTGACTGAAAGGCTAAGAAATGAATCAGGATTTTGTAATGGCCAAGTCAAAGTACAAACCACAACTCCATTGCTGTGGCGGCACCTCAAGAGAGTTGTGCATTAACAAACGTCCTCAAACATCACCAAGCTGAAGCAGTTTTATAAGGAGTGAGCTAGAATTCTTCCCAGGTGATATGAGAGACTGAAACTCTTACAGGAAACTTTTACTTTTAGTTACAGTACTGCTGCTAAAAAGAATGTTCCACAGAATGTTACTGAATCACAGGGTGTACTTACCTTTTTACACAACGCTTCTGAATTTTGGCTGATATTTTGTTTGATTGATAATGACAAAGTAAAATTTGTGTGTGTTATCCACCACATGAGATTAGATTTGTCTACAGTTAAGACGTGATGAGGACTTGATGAAGCTCAGATATGTCTTATTTTGTACAGTTAAACCATAGAATTGTAAGGGGGTGTTCTTTTTCACATCACTGTATGTATCATAAATCTTAAATATTCAAAGTATCTTACATTTAAGTATCTTAAACATAAATATTAACAATATGTGCTAAATAGTGTTTTGCTGTGAACTGCAAAATAATATGTATACCTGTAATAAGAACAAAAGGGACAAAAGGTTTATTGACTAAAATTAAATTGCGTACATCTTCATACACATATACATACATTTGTAATCTTAGGCTAGAAGTTTCAGGGGCTGGTTGGTTCAGAGGGGGCTGGGAGAATCCAATCTGTTGATAGTCATCTGCCATTCCTACCCATACCAGTGAGAGCTTTGCCTGTTCTCTATCTGACGCAAAAGCCCAGTTACATCCTTTCCTAATTCATACTTCAAGATGGAGTGTGTGTGGTGCCAGTAAGCAGTTTGGAGAATGTGTATGTAGATAGATAGATGATAGATAGATACTTTATTGATCCCGTGAGGGAAATTGCAGGAAATTGTATATATATCTCTATAGGCTGCTACAGGGATTATAAGAATGTGATGATTGGAATTATTAGAAGTTCAAAATTGGTATGTATACAGGAAACCATTTTCATAGTATATATATGAATTAAGTATTAAAATGTAAAGGTGTTTTGTGTGTACTGTATGTATGGGTATGCAGGTGCTATGAATTATTGAATTGAATGTTAATTAGATCTTATCATTTTGCAAATCGGAGTGGCAGAATCGTTTAAGCAGAATATTGTTTCTGCTTTTTGTGAATATATCATTGAAGATAGCAGATAGAAGATAGCAGCTGTTTGAGTCTTATTAGAGGTAATCAGTGCGACTTTGCTTACTTTGACCAATGAAAAAAGCATGTGCCTTGTGAGAAACATCTTTCAGTTTATGGTATCTTAAGAGCATATACAGTATGGCCACATGTACTGTATGTGTTCTGAAGTAAGCCTGAAGAAAATAAAATTGCATTCCAATAGTTCATAAAATCAATACAAAAATCTGTTTTATGATATGTACTTTGAAGGACATTCGCGGTAGGTGATTCATCACTTCTGCATAGTCTTTTTTTCCGTCTCTGCTCCAGACACAGTCCTTGTGATTGAAGTTGCCTTTAAAGCCATGAGGAATGAGCAGCGATAATAAGCCAATGAAACCAATATCTTTCTTTAATTGCCATATCTTAGAGAACAAATAGTCCTGTTCCCAAAAGCCTTAGCTTATGTTTCTAATTACTGAACATCAGTGAGTACAGGTAGTTAATTTTTTTTAACAAATTCATTTTTGCTCTCCCTCTTAATTAAACAAAGCCCATTTAATTCAAATGTGTAGTTACAGTAGGCCTATCAGTTATTCCTTTCTTCATTCAGCATACATTCCTTGCCAGCAAAAGTATACATCACTAGTGTGAATAATGAAAGTGCAGGGTTGGAACAGAACATTTTCGAATACATTTTAGTGTTTAGTTAGAAGCTGCTTCAATTGAGGATTTGCTGTTGCCAATTATTTTTGGTTTTGCTTCAGATTTAGGGGCAACCTCAGCCATTACCACGATTGCCATGAGGCAGTCACCTTGGAAACCTTGAATTGAACCTTGAATCTTGAATTCTTGCAGAAGGTTATGGTGCTTCTGGTGTCAACAAGAACTAGAAAACCTGTAAAAATAAAGAACACTTAACAGGATCTGAAAGAACTGCTTATGATATAGTTTACAATTTAGTAATACCCTGAATTGCACACCTTTTACTTAGCAGTGTGTTAGTAAAGAAACATGATTTAACTTGTGTTTTTTTATAGGTTCTAATTCTCATTGGGTGCAATACAGTGGCTTTAGAGCTTTTTCTGCCTCTCTCACTGGTGTGAGAATTTGTGGATTGTCTTGTTAGGATCTAAAAATTGAATCACTCGCTCTCATTTGCCAAAAATGCAGTTGTTTCCCTGTTTCATCCCGTTTGTCACAATCCCCCCCCCAATGCGAAAGACTGTGTTGCCCGTACGCCCTGGGTCGATCTGGGCTCATGGTTCCCGTCGGCTTTGTTGTTTTCAGTGGAGGAGGACACGGAGGAAAGCTCGCGCTCGGGGAGGGAGTCGGTGTCGACCACCAGCGACGTGACCCTGCTGACCGGGGGCTCTGGGACCATGGAGAGGCAGATGAATGGCGGGCGAGGCAGAGACGACAAGAAAAAGGACAAGGGCGGGAAAGACAAAAAGAAGCAAGACCGAGACAAAGAGAAGGACAAAAGCAAAGCCAAGAAAGGAGGGATGTTAAAGGGCCTTGGGGATATGTTCCGGTAAGACCTTCAGACATACGTGCACTCATGTGAACTTCTGTTCTGTTAACACTTGTGCTGCCTTTACTGTACTTGCGCTAACGGCAGGACTAGGGATGCTCCCTCCTTTGTTTGAAGTCTCAGTCACTTTTGAAAATTGATGTGTTTTTCTGGACTTTTGTCTGCTAGTAAGGCTGTTATTCACATGGACAAGGAAGTTAATATGCATGTTTTTCCATTCCAAAAGGCCATCCAGGCTTATCTAGGATTTTTCGCCTTTCTTTTCTAGAAGCACTGTACAGTATGCAATTAGTATTTTGAACTGAAAGGGTAAAATAGGTAGCCTCTGAAATCAAATTTAAATATTTGTACTTAAATGTCATCTCCTTCATATTACATGCTGCACTGTATGGTAATTATACTTCAGTATTATTTAGATTGTAAATTGAGAAATGCTCAGGAGACATCAGTAGAACACCTTGCATCACTTCTGGCCGACGTTACCATTGAGTGAGTCCCCATGTGAAACCTCTGAACTGGCACTATCTGAGACAAGGCAGAGCGATGCTCATGCTGGTCTCTCTGAGCAGTTCGATGCTTAATTACAGGCCTTGTAGTTGCATATTTCAGGTCTGTCACGTAAAACCCGGTATTTTGGCATGACAGAATGGTGGCTTGGGAATTTAAAGAACAAATGGAAGTTGACTTAGTAATATCAAAATTTCGTTTGTAAGGGGTGCCAATTTGAGCTTCAGGAAAACATGAAAACATCGTTTTACTGATTTTATTTTTTAGTTGGCAAAAAGAATTGTTGTCCGTAGAAACATAATTAAAAGATACTGCATTGTGAATTGTTCATAACAAACATCAGAGAGTGGTAGAATGGATTGCCCAATAACTCCACTGAGGTATTAATGAGTTTGGTTTACAAGCTGGAAACACATGGCATGTTTACAAGGAGTGATGTCCAATGCTGTTTTATCAGGTCTGCGACAGGGCCTGGGCCATTTCACATAAGGAGAGCAAATTTCGTTACACTGCCATGCATGACGAATGAGACAGTATAGTGACACTGCATGGAAATGAAGCATTAAGATATCCAGCAAGTAACTATTTTGGTGAATGAGATCTGAGTTTGATTGTGGTACAAATATGCATTATTCTTATTGTGGATAGACTGGCTCCAGATGAAATCTTATCGGCCCACCCTTTTCTTAAGAAGTATTTTGTTGCCTTAGGTAAGAAAGTGGATATGCAGTATTTTTAAGGGTTTTGCTAATGTTGCTTCTGTAAAGCTAATTAAACAGAAACTGCAATTAATTATTTTGATTTGGTGCTCATTTGAATCCTGAATAAATTAAACAGAGTTGGTTTGCTGTTATCATGCAATAAGTTGTTTCCCACGGATTAGTGTAATGGGATTAGTTAGCATATCGTAGCAGTAATGAACAATAAAGATGACAAGTGTTTTAAGGTCATGTTTCAGGAATTCAGAGCCATCGCTTATCTGCTTCAATTTGTGCTTTGCCGCTGTTTAACATTGTTGGGGGTGTAGAGCACTATATGATTACGTACAAGTATAAATGTTGTTTGTGTAGGTATTTATGGAAGATTGAGTTGATTGATTGTTATATGCATTATAGGATACTCTTTCCATTTTCACGTTTCAGATCGTACATTTCAGGTCTACTAGTGTACTATACACCACAATGTGAGTTTGGTGTGACATCAAGGTAATTTTTTTTGCCTCATATCACTCCTATACTGCTTTAAGGCAGCTAATCTTTCTTCATTATCTGACAATGCCGCTGCCACTTAAGGGACAGAGCCACTGTAACTGACACTTTCTCCATTGTCTGCATGCAGCCTGAGGGCTTTTTATCTCAAATATGCAAACCGACAGCTCATAAACCTGCATCTGCATTATGCACTCAGTGCGGCTGCTTCTTGCCTTCAATTAAAAAAAAAAAAGAGAGAGAGAGACAGAAAGAGGGGGAGAATCAGAGCATTTCTTCCTGGGATCTTCATTAAATCGAGGCACACTGAGTCAATTCCCAGTGGAGACCTAGGGTTGCGCTGCTCTCAGTTCTGCACAAAATCATTATTTTTAGGGCCCCCTAAGAATCGCCAAATCTGACTTAAAGGCAGAACTAATATAAACGATTGTATGCTTACCTGCAGTTATCAGTTAGGACTGGGACTCTGCTGACTGGGGTCGAGCTTTATTTCTCCTCTTTTTTTTGTGTTGTAGATAAGGTGCTTTGTCCTCATTTACATTTAGTTAGCCTTCAACTCCATCGGCGTAGCTTTTTCTTTTTTTAAGTTGATCTCAAAGGACGTCTGAAAGCATTTGCATTTGCTATACCCTTCAATTTATGCTCATCTGCATGCACAGCTAAACTGAGCCCGATGAACGTTTTCCAGTGCTCATTTTATCGGGAGACTGATTGGGGCGCACATTTAAATGGGGCATTTGGAAGCTGAGCTGGTTAGAATAGAAAGAGGTGAAGTTGAGCTCATTTTGTAGTCTGACATGCTTGACAGGTAGAGACTTACCTGATTGTGAAAGGTCTGCCTTTTCTCTTAAACATTATTAATCAGAAAAAAAGAGACAATAAATAAACTCACATCAGGAAGTAAAAATGCTTGTCTGTGTTTTAACCGTTTTCTAGAAAGCTGATTTTTAGCAGCCGTGAAGCAAGACGGCATTTTGAGGGATGAGCTTTTGCATTAGTTATTGGTGTCCGAGCAGTTCAGGGAGCTTCACCTTCTCATCTAAAACGTGGTCTGTGCATAAAAATAATGTTTACTTCTTGAAAGCTGACCAAATGACCAAAACAGTGTTTCCTTCACCCCAAGTTAATATGATGCTGTTTAACTGCTGTAATAGTTTGTACAGTATGTCTTATACATATAGTGTAATTTTGCAGGGTGAGTGCACTCTTGCTGTTAAGGAAGAAGAGAGGCAGAATCAGTAAGAGCCAAGGGCAGTTATTATGGTGCAATTTGTGCACTCAAGTAAACTAGGGCAACAGCGAGCTGTTTCACACGAGACCTGAACAACTGGCTGATCAGAATGATTTTTCGGTCACTGCATTAAGGAGCAACATTTAATCCACAGTGTCACTCAGCCTCTTGTGAATCTGATAACCGGCAAGCCTCAGAGATGAATCATTTGATACGATTACAGTCATCTGAAATGCTTTTCCCTGAAGACAAAGCTTAGTCTGCAAGGAGGGGTAGAGACTGGGATTCTGAGTTGCCGACTTTGTGGGCTACATTTTTTTAATGCAGTTCAAATGAGCTGTCTTCTTGGGGTGTTTTGAAGGTTAGACCATGTGCAAAGGAAAATAAATCTTATCAAAATGTGCATCTACTGTATATATGAGGTTTCACACCTGTTTGGAAATACATAATAATACATTGCACTCTTTTGTTTATATTGTTAGCACATATACAGTATACAGTATGTGACTTTGAACATCTACTGTACAATTATACATTTTCAGCTGACAGCGGCATAAAAAATGATCAGACAAAACAGATAAAGCCTTTTTAAAGTGGTTCTTTATGTATTTTTCATTATTACATTTAGTTGGATTCTGCTTCTCCGTTACGCCTGCAGCAATATACATTTATTTGCATCGAGCATAGATTTCCATAGTTTCTTTGGCATACTGCTTGGCTTATTTTACAAGAATCTGCATCCAGACATAACCAGTGAATGTGGTTTTCATGTTGTCAGTTATTGTAGAAGTGGAGATGATGCTTAACACATTTTATGTGTTTGTTATGCCTTTAAAATTCTCCTATCTGCTGCATCGTCCGACATTTATCATAAATGATAATTGGAACTAAAATTTGAGGCATTTCAGAAGTTCTGGACTTTTCAGAAGTGTCTTTAAGAGGTTTATCTGTTTTCCACGTCCGTTCCGTGGCATTTTCATGGCAGTATTTGGAGCTACAGCTATAGCTATATGTTGTTACATCATGCTGAGTAAACAGATCTGAGCTGTTTTTGAGCTAAGTGAATAATAAATGGGAGATGTGTGCCCACCAGTATATCATCAAACCATAATGAGCTGTGGGCTTTGTTTTAGGCTGGGTCCTTGGTGAACTGGGACTGGCACGGCTGGATCAGACAAAGCTGTCCTACTTGTCCAAGTCCCAGACAAGCAGCAGTTTAGTCCAGTTGACAAGCGATCAGCATTTACAAAACAAGAGAGAGAAAGGTAAAGTAAAAGGTGATTTCTTACTTGCTACTCCAAAGTAGACTTTTAACGATATAATGAAATGTGGACAATAACAGAAAGACTAAAAACTCCAATAAAAGCAACTGGCTACCTTATTGTCCTGATTTTGTTTCTTGGAAAATAATGATCTGTCCTTCAGTTATAACAGATTGCCGCAATTGAGTGTTACCGAGTATTCATATCTTTTTCAGTGTGTTTTTTAATGTTGTGTGAATCTGTCACCAGTTAAGTTTCCCCTTTCCCTGAGCTTCATTGCAGTTCTTCCCTTTATTACAAGAGTTTTATTAATACAAGGAGTACAAATAAAAAGATACTTTGGAACGCTAAATAATTTCAGTTCTGCACGTTTCCATTTTTACATGCTTTTAAATGGAAAACACATTAAAATGTGAACTTTGTAACTCAGTAGCACAGCTGGGAAATGCATGACCAGAGATTGGTCAGCTGCCTTTTGCTTTCAATTCAATACAAATGCAATACTGAAGTATTACCATTAAAATCTAATATTTTAATTGTATTTCAAAAGATTATGTGCAGTCTTACAGTGTTCTGGTTTAGTCTTTGCTGGAGAGGGAAATGACTAATTGAATTTGAAATCTTGTTTAGAGGAAATCAGATACACTGTTGTGTTTTGGCTTTCTTAGTGTCCTGTACATGGCCAGATTCAGAAGTGCATTATTTGGAAATTTATATTGCATATTCTGGCAGTGTCGGCCCTCCCACCTTGAGTAATACGCTTTGGTGCGGAATTGGATGTTCTCATGATTT